GGAGAGAGAGAGAGAGGACAGTGTGTGTGTCCTCTATAGAATAAGATTCCAGGACTTTCATTCTGTCCATGTACCACTCTGAAGCCTAGAACGTCTGTTGCGTCTGTGTGAAGTGATGGAAGCAGCTATACAAACAAGAGAAGGGCTCTTTTTACTTACAATATCACCAGGTTCAATCGTCACCGGGATTTGAAGTCTGTTACAGGCCAATTTTTAAGTCCCCAGCCATTCTGCCTTTACCAGGCTGGTGTACAGCTCCAGTAAGGCATGTGCCATGCCAAGAGTTCTAGACCATTGTGATATCAGACACAGCTCAACCAACCAATCACCACCTTGACTCTACTACTAATTTGCATGCAGTAATGTCATTGGTTGTTTGGATTACTTGGCCCAATTGCCACACCCATGCAACGGCACAGGCTTTCAGTTACTAGTTTCATCATTAACAAGCTACAGCTGCTCGGAACAGAATGGCTGCTCCCTCTGCAGGGAAAGTTTAGAAATCATAGCTATGTAGAGCTGGAAGGGACCTCAAGAAGTCATCTAGTCCATCCCCCACACTGAGGCAGGAGTAAGTATGCCTAGACCATCCCTAAGAGCTGACCCAGAGCTCTTAGAAATGGAAAGGTGCAATGCACAGAAAACAAAGGTGCAACTGTTTCAAGCTACTTTCGCTGGTGTAGATCTGGAGTTAGTCCAGGTGTGACACTACACCCCATATTCTTCACAGAAATATTGTTATTATATGATTATAGCATAACTAAGATGTGTTTTATGCAAGATGGGTCTTGTGAGATATCATTGGAAAGGTTATGATTTACTGAATATGAGTATCCCATTTGTTTGCATGTATCATTTTTGTATCTTAAGTTAGGAACATTTACTATACATCTGTACTACAAAACTGTTTGCACCTGGACAACGCTCACCAGACAAAATACCATCAGTCTGGCTGGCTAGCTGGATACAAGTCAATAGACTATTGGGGAGAACAATAGGACTTTGAAGAGGGTAATCTCCCAGCTTCCTGGGATGCTGCAAATGGACTTTGAGTTATGGCTGCAGAGTCATGTGATTAAGTCACCTGATACTAGATTCCATAATAAAATTAGTACTTTTCCACTGGCCAAGGGTGGGAATCACACTGGAAGACAAAGGATTCCTGCCATATGTAAAACCTATTTAAGGCAGGGAAGTGAGATAATCAGGGTCTGTTCTTCACTGAATCCCCACCCAAGATGACTGATGAAAACACCTAAGACTGATCTGGGGAAGACGAGACTGAACTCAGGCTAGAGTGTGTCTGGCCTGCGAAAGAAATACCTGGAGTTTGAAGCTGCTAGCAAGAGCAGCTTGCCTTCAAAAAACTCTGCAATCTGCCTAAAACAACATTTAGGATGAGAAATTACTGCTTGTAACCAGTTTCTTTAGTATCTGATCTTATATTGCATTTTTGTTTTGTTTGCAGGGTAATCTGCTTTGATCTGTTTGCTATCCCTTATAAATACTTAATATCTATCGTTTGTAGTTAATAAACTTGTTTTTGTTTTCTCTAAAACCAGTGTGGAATTCATAAATGGGGAGCAAAAAGCTGTGCATATCATCCTCCACATTGAGGGAGGGGGAGGATTTCAGGGCTTACGCTGTACAGTTCTCTGTGCAGTGCAAGACAGTACAATTTGGGGTTTTACACTCCAGGGAGTGTGCACTTGAGTGCTGGGAAATTCCTTAGCTGAAGCCTTCCCGTGCAGTGCTGATTTCAGTGTCTGTCTTTCTGCAGCTGGGCGTGTCCCTACCTGTGTGTGTGCTGGAGGAGACTTGAGAGGGCCTGGCTCAGCAGAACAGTGTAAGGGAGCCCAGGCTGGTGGAACAGGCAGGCTCAGTGATACCCCAATACATCAGGTGGCACCCTGGAGGGGGGAGCAACCCTCACACCAGGTTTACCCCAGAGCGAATGAGATCAGAATCTGGCCTGCAGCCTTTAAGATCTGCAGAACCCTAAGCAGATAGGGCTTTATGCATCTAAATCAACACCTTGAACTGCACTCAGTACCAGTTTGGAACACCCCGTGAATAAAGCACTTGGCTTTGCACTTATTGCTGATGCTCACCAGATTTTGTCAAAACGGTGACAGAGACGTAGAGCGAGTGGCCAACCAGTTCGTTCAGGTTGGCGAACCGAGCCCGCAGCATCTCTCTGGTCAGTGTTGCTTCCCCATCTCCATCTTTTATCTAGAAAGGGAGAGAGAGTTTCATGACCTCACCCACACAGTTTCCCAGGAGGCGTGAATCCCTCTCCCCCACAGCCGAGAACAGGAATTACCGAGATTCTCTTGAGAGACTGCGGGATACTCCTCTTCTCATCATCCACCTTCACCCCAAAGAGGACAAAGGCATTGCCATCAAGTTTTTTCCCATATAGGTACCTGCGGGAGATAAGGATTGGTAAGTGATCAAAAACAGTCAGCATGGATTCACCAAGGGCGAGTTATGCCTGACTAACCTAATTGCCTTCTATGACGAGATAACTGGCTCTGTGGATAAGGGGAAAGCAGTGGATGTGTTATTCCTTGACTTTAGCAAAGCTTTTGATACGGTCTCCCACAGTATTCATGTCAGCAAGTTAAAGAAGTATGGACTGGATGAATGGACTATAAGGTGGATAGAAAGCTGGCTAGATCGTCGGGCTCAATAGGTAGTAATCAATGGCTCCATGTCTACTTGGCAGCCAGTATCAAGTGGAGTGCCCCAAGGGTCGGTCCTGGGGCTGGTTTTGTTCAATATCTCCATTAATGATCTAGAGGATGGGATGGACTGCAGATGACAATAAACTGGAAGGAGTGGTAGATACGCTGGAGGGTAGGGATAGGATACAGAGGGACCTAGACAAATTAGAGGATTGAGCCAAAAGAAATCTGATGAGGTTCAACAAGGACAAGTGCAGAGTCCTGCACTTAGGACGGAAGAATCCCATGCACTGCTACAGACTAGGGACCGAATGGCTTGGCAGCAGTTCTGCAGAAAAGGACCTAGGGGTTACAGTGGACGAGAAGCTGGATATGAGTCAACAGTGTGCCCTTGTTGCCAAGAAGGCTAACGGTATTTTGAGCTGTATAAGTAGGGGCATTGCCAGCAGATCAAGGGACATGATCGTTCCCCTCTATTCGACATTGGTGAGGCCTCAGCTGGAGTACTGTGTCCAGTTTTGGGCCTCACGCTACAAAAAGGATGTGGAAAAATTGAAAAGAGTCCAGCGGAGGGCAACAAAAATTATTAGGGGGCTGGAGCACATGACTTATGAGGAGAGGCTGAGGGAACTGGGATTGTTTAGTCTGCAGAAGAGAAGAATGAGGGGGGATTTGATAGCTGCTTTCAACTACCTGAAAGGGGGTTCCAAAGGGGATGGATCTAAACTGTTCTTAGTGGTACCAGATGACAGAACAAGGAGTAATGGTCTCAAGTTACAGTGTGGGAGGTTTAGGTTGGATAAGAGGAAAAACTTTCGCTAGGAGGCTGGTGAAGCACTGGAACGGGTTACCTAGGGAGGTTGTGGAATCTCCATCCTTAGAGGTTTTTAAGGTCAGGCTTGACAAAGCCCTGGCTGGGATGACTTAGTTGGGGATTGGTCCTGCTTTGAGCAGGGGGTTGGACTAGATGACCTCCGGAGGTCCCTTCCAACCCTGATATTCCATGATTCTATGAAGAGAAGCCACAAGAAAACCTATTGCAGAATATTATGGCCTCATGCCACCATTCTCCTCTATAGGCCCAGTTCCTTGGTTGGTCTATATCTCCCATGATTCACCATGGTAAGGAGCAGGGGACCATCATGGCTACAGTGCATTATGGGAGTTCAAGACTTAGGTTTCTTTCTGCACTAAAACTTGTGGTTGCTACCCCACTCAGCTGATCCCTTCCACCCGCTCACAGACTCACCTCGCAGTGATAGAAACCCTGAAGTCTTCATTGCCATCGATGTATAAAAACTTCTCAGACGGTTCCAATATGACTTCAAAACTCGGCAACACTGGAGAAACAAGAGGGGAAGAAGAGAAAATTGAGCTTGTAGGAGAGGGTGGGTTGCCAGCAAAGCCAAGCCGAATGGAGAGTCTGCTCCAAGATGGTGTCAGGAGAGTAGAGACAGACCCGCTCCCTGAACCTGGGCCCAGTGGGTGCTGGATTCTTACCGTACTCCTTAACGTCAAATTGCGCACTGAAGGTCTGCTGAGGGGAGTCTTCATACCTGGCCGTGATCTTCCAGGTTCCCAGACTGGAGGAAGGAAATAAGAAGGAACATTGAATGCACTTAACACACACATTTTGCAAGGCCCACATGGCTCACTTGTTTCTCCAGTAATTTTATCGGCTCCTGAAGCTAAATCTGAGCCATACATGGAACTCAAGCCGTCTTCAGGAAACGACAGGGAACCTCAGACAAGTCATTTTTTTCTGCACCTTGATGTTTTCATGAACCAGAACTAGAGGTAGGGACTTGGAACAAATCACTTGATCCACAAGCCCCTCAACCTTTGGCCAGCAAGGTTTGAGAAATTTGGATCTAAACTTTGTGACCGGCACTTGTTTCTACAGTCTGCCTGGACCAAAACCCTCAATCCAAACAACCCCAAACATAAGGAAACTCCAATCCATACCAAAATCAGCCCCTCGCTCACCAGCTCACTGACATAATTTTCAGAGTAGTTGAGCATTCATAAATCCAACTGAATGGGAGGTAGGGTGCTCAGCATTTTTTAAAAACAGGGCCTAATCCTGCCTTCACATACTCTGGAATAAATCAGGAGTAATGGCAAGGAAGTCAGTACGGCTTCATTCTGGTGTCTGCGTAGACTTGGAAAGATTAGTTTTTTATCGATACGTGTCATTGATTTCACTGTGCACACGCATACCAACAAAAACACATTTCCATCGCTAATATCGAAATTTACAGATAGGCAAAGCAAGAAAAATGCTGCTTGAGAGCTTACTACAGTTTGATTTAAGTCTTTATACTTTGTGTATTTAGCCATACGATGTTGACAATTTGGATTTTAATGGCTATAAAGCTTTTTGCTTTTTTCAATCTAAGTGTCTATTGTCATTAAAGAAGTATTGTCAGATCCCGCCCACCATGTTTTCCCCCACCTGTGAAAATTTAAAATGCTAAAAATCAGAATGGGGGATGATAAAAACCCATTATTTATTTTTGCACAACTGAGCATCTGAAGTGATCGAAACTGGAAAAAAAGGCTTACAAATAAACATGATTATCCATCGAAACTATAACAAATACAAATCAAATTATGCCAAGACTGGCAGGAGAGTTTGTTTTCTCCACGTCACTTGGAAATGCCTGTAGGAGATGATCTAGCTGATGGGCCACTTTTGTATATATTTAACACCATTATAAATGCTGGAGACAAAGCGGGGTTTCGGGTGGAGACTGACAGCTCGCGACCCCCCATGTAATAATCTCGCGACCCCATGAGGGGTCCCGACCCTCAGTTTGAGAACCCCTGAACTAGCTCCACATCATCTCTTCTGCTTACCTGCCCAATTCCTGCAAAGCTCTGCTCCGTCCAGGCATAGTAACATCAGGCAATCTACCTGATAATGTCCGGTAAGCCGTGGCTCAGGGAGAAGATGCCTGATTTCAAGGGGGCGGAGATGGGAATCTGCTTGACAATAATGGACTCAGGGGTCTGGAAAGGAAACAAGTTGAGAGTTTAGAGAGAAAAATGCTGTTAATTGCTCTTAACAACATCATCTGCCACGTTTACATTCCTGGGCCAGTGGAGGGTTCTCCACACTTCCAACAATAGCATGTAACAATCTGGACTCCACTGATTGGTTTGAATTTCTTAACTAACCAGAGACACTGGAAAAACCGACAAATCTCTCCTGACCTGGCTCAGCGAGGCCAGCAAAGAACTCAAGGAAGCAGCTCGGAAGACTTAAGAGCCTCCACGGCAGAATCTTGCAGACGCCAGGCTTAATCCTGAGCTATCTGCAAACTTGGAGCTGCCCCAAGGGCTGCGTCACTCTGCCAGACACAGCTGCTCCCCATCGCAAGGCCCCAGCTGGTTATGCTGCTGCTCAAGGCAGAGTGTCAAAGAAAGGGGAAACTGAGTCAAAGAGGAACTGAAAGGACAGATGTGTTCTCTCCCCTCCCAGCTGGCTGAGGTGAGGAAACCCCAGGGGATTATTGCCCAGGGGATTGCAGCTGATTTACTTTATTTTATGGATTATAAAGCCCAGTGGAAAGGATTATAAAGCCCTTAAGAGGACTAACGTCTGGAGCTATAAGCCCTGTTCCTGCCACCACTTTACACGTCCTTCAAAGGGCTCCTGGCAGTGCCTCCTTGTCTTCAGCCTTCCCAGACAAGCACCTGCCTGGCTCTTCCCAAAGAACTCCACGCAACTTTCCTCAAGCGTTAACACCATTGCAGAACCGCGGGACTTCCCCCAAGAGCTACCTCCCTAATGACTGGGGGAGAATTTGGACGCCAGAAGTTTGCAAGGAGGGACCTCAGACAATCATTTGCTTTTCTCCCGGCCATACCATGTTGCTGCTACACGAATTGTGTCTATGCATCCTCCTCAGTCACAATAAATTGCAGCGCGTTACCCAGACAAGTGGCTAAACCCACCTATCCCCCACGGGCTCACTCAGAACAGCCACCTCACCTCAAACTCCACGATCACTGTCTTAGACACTGGTTCCAGTTTGTGACCCACAGTGAAGATCCGGTAGAGGACTGACAAAATAAAGAGAGAAGAGAGGGACGTCGTTAACCGATTGAAACCAACGGGAGTTCTGGGCCTAACTCCATGGAGGATCTGAGCCATCAGCCCCCATCATGGGTTGTTTCATGATAGCCTCTTTCTACAGTCCGAGATCTCCATGGCTTTTTTCTTTAGGGCGTTGTCTTGCTTTTCTCTCCTGTCGCTACGTACCAGGTGGGCAGGCTTTGTCATTGCAGGGACCTGTCCTGCTCTGAATGGGCTGGGATTAGCAGCCCCTATTTCACACAGGCTTTGGGACGGTCGTCAGATGGGGACATGTATCTTGGTATAAGATGGAGCAGAACCAGTCACTGTGATTTGAAAAGTTCCATTGCCCATTCTCAATCCCATGGTCCACCCATCTTTCAGTGTCTAACCCTCAATGGGACATCCCAGCTAGGATGATGGTGAAGGGTGAAATATTGCAAATTGGTGGTGGCAGAGTCTCTGCTCCAATTCTCCTCTGTCTTCAGCCAGACAACAAGCAAAGCAATATGCACAGGATGGACCCCGCAGTCCTGCTGTAGATATGGCATGACATCAGCAGCTCCCACCCCTTCCCATTAGAAGAGACCAGGGGAAGGCAGTACCTGTAGACCCGGGTGTATAGATGGTTTTATCTGTCTGGATAAAGATGTATCCACTGTGGAAATGGACCAGAACCACTTTCTCCAGGGTTTGCTGAGGGAACGTAGCCTTGACCACAACATACTGGTTTCGTTTGGAATCTTTCTTTATGTCTTTGGTGGGAACCTGCATGAGAAGAAGAGCATGGACGAGTTCTTCCTGCTTTTACTCACCACAAGGGATGCTCTACACAAAAGACCTTTGCAGAGTTAACGACACTTAAGCTATACATGGAAAGAAATCATGGACTTTTACTAGCCCGTTCCTGCAGCACCTTACACACCTACCATAAGATGGTGGGTCTCCTCACTGAGGAATACCCAGGATGGCACAGTCAGCATAGGTCACCACCAGTGAGTCAGGCCAGACCATTTGGACGGCCCAGTACCCATTGTCCGGTCACCTCCTCTTATATGGAATGTTTGTTAACCAAAGGGCATCCCATAGGTGCCCTGCTGAAGTCAGTTCTACTGCACTGATGTGCTCCCGACTATTCCTACTGTGCTCCCCTAAAACTGTAACATCTTGGAGACCTTCCCTCTGTCCCCTCAACTCTCCATTCCTGCCCAGGACTTTAAATCAACTCACAACGAGAATCCTGCTCCACCAGGGAACCTCACCCAGAAATGCTGCTGTGCCCAGCGCAGACTAGGGACAGGACTTGGCAAGCTCTGAGCAAGTTTCCCAGGCAGTGCACACACGAGCCATAGTGCATATGGTTATGTACCTGACCACAGAACCTCGGTGCATTGAATGAAGACGCTCCCAAGTCAGCTGAGACACAAATAATTGGCTTTGACGTGTTAACAGGAATTAAGACCAAAGTATTCACCAAAACTCTTGTGACTTTAACCATTTCATTGTCGTCTTTTT